AGAATATATCTTTAAAAACAATATTAGGTAGTTTTTATATGGAAGGCCTACATTCAAATTGGAAAAAACTGTCTACTGGAAAGAAGGTTTTATTGAAGCCATTGTAATTATGCTTTTCATTGAAGTAACTGAGAATTAATTATTTTATGTTGTATATTTTACAATGAAATATAATTTCCTAAATTCCTAATATTTCATTATCTATACTAAATATATGCTTGTGAATTTAGCTTCATGTGGATGTGTCTTCAGGAACAGTAACTAATGTTCCAATGTGGTTGTTAGGTGCTGTCAACTTGATTTTAACTCATAGCAACCCCATGTGACAGAGTAGAATTGCCCCATAGGGCTTCCTAGGCTGTAATCTTAATGAAAGCTGATCTCCAGGTCTTTTCTCCTGCAGAGCCGTTGGATGGGTCTGAACCACCAACCTTTTGGTTAGTAGCGGAGTACACCGAGGCAGTTTGACTTCCGAATCTGTCCTTCAGAACTTTTGCATCCTCCACAATGACTGTTTATATCATTTCCAGTGCCTTCTTGCTAAGGAGTTGGTGCTAATGTTTAACTTGCAGAGATAAAAAGATAGTTGTCATCAAGATTTTTTTTTAAATTTCATGTTACCATACTGTTATTATCATGTGATGTTTATGTTGCTATTATGTGATTTTTGTGTTGCCTCTCTGTTTCTTCTTTGCAGGACTGAGGACTAAGTCTTAGCCATCCTTTGCACTTACTCAACATAGAATCCTAAGGATTGTTGCCTTTTTTCTTTTTTTCAAACAGCTTTATCAAGATATAATTGACAATAAGCTGCACATATTTAGATTGCTGAATTTTATGATTTTCATACATGTATATACCTGTGAAAAACCACAATCAATAAGGATATTCATCACCCTCAAAAGTTTCCTTGTGCCCTTTTGTAATCTCTCACCCCTGCCCCCTCCATATCCCTTCTCAGGCAATTAGTTTCTGTCACTATGAATTAGTTTGCATATTCTAGAGTTTATATAGTTAGCATCATACAATATGTACTCTTTCATCTGGCTTCTTTAACTTAGTCTAATTATTTTAAGATTCATCCGTGTTGTTGGGTGTATCAGTAGTTCATTTTTAAATTGCTATGTAGTATTTTGTTGCATGGATATAGCACATCCTCAACAATACTTGCTATGATTAATTTATTTTTTGTCTTAATTTTGTCTTAATTTTAACTATTTTAACAGATGTGTATTGGTATCTCACTGTGGATTTAATTTGTATTTTCCTAATGACTAATAATGTTGAGCATCTTTTCATGTGCTGACTTGCTACCTATTTATCTCCTTTGGTAAGGCGTTCATTCAATTTTTTTGTCCATGTTTTAATAATTCTGGGCATATTCTCTCCTGAGAGTACCTTTCATAATTTAATTTTCAAATTGTTCATTGCTAGTGTATAGAACTACAGTTGATTTTATGTGTGTGTGTGTGTGTGTGTGTGTGTGTAGTGATCTGGTATGATGATCTACTTGCCCCTCACTTCAGAATTTATTCTAATTTTTTTTGTACATTCATTAGTATTCTCTGTATACAGTATCATGATATTTGTGAAGAGAGAGAGTTCTACTTGTTTCTTTCCATTCAGGATGTCTTTTATTTCTTACATAATTATCCTGGCTAGAACCTCCAATACAATGTTGAGTACATGTGGCAAGAGCAGATCTGCTTGTCTTGTTCCTGATCTTAGTGGCAAAACATACTATCTTTTTTTTTTTTTAAATCATAACATGGTGTTGGATTTTGTCAATGCTTTTTTGCATCTATTGAGATGATCATATGATTTTTTGTTTTTATTCTACTGATATGATGTATTACATTAATTGATTTTCAAATGTTGAATCAGTCTTTTATTCCTGGAATAAATCCCAACTGGTCATGATATATAATTCTTTTTTATAAGTCGCTGGATTTGCTTTGCTATTATTGGGTATATTGTTGTTTTGTTTGTTTTCATTCATCTCAAAGAATTTTCTAATTTCCCTTGTGATTTTTCTTTGACCCATTGGTTATTTTATTTTACCCACTGGTTAAGTTTCACATATTTGTGAATTTCCAAAATTTCCTTCTGTTACTGATGTATAATTTCATTCCATTGTGTTCGGAGAACATAGGATTAAATTATTTATTTAATAAAGAGGATAATATATTAAATGCATTTTATTAATAAACTTATAAATTTATTAAACAATTAAAATGATTGAATTAATTAATTTAATCCTTTTAAATTTATTGAAATTTGTTTTATCATCTAACATATGGTCTATCCTGAGAAGAATGTGCATTCTGCTGTTGTTGGGTACAGTTCTATCTATAGATGTCTGTTAAATCTAGGTTTGTAGTGTTATTCAAACTTTCTATTTCCTGATTGATTTTCAGCCTAGTTTTTCTATTCATTACTTAGGATGGAGTGTTGAAGTCTCCAACTATATATTGGATTGTTTATTTCTCCCCTTAATTCTTTAGTTTTGCTTCATGTATTTTGGGCTTTGTTGTTAGAAAAATGATAAATCCTGCATTATCAGTAATAAAATTAAATGTAAATGGGCTTAACACTTGAATCAAAAGAGAGATTGGCAGAAGGTTTTTTAAATAATTTCTATATTTTTATTGATCTTCTCTCTTTGCTGAGACATTATATTCATACTTTTCTTATTTCTTTAGACATGATTTCCTTTAATTCTTTCAATTTATTTATAATATCTGAGTTAAAACTCTGTCTAATAAATCCAATGTCTGTGCTTCCTCAGAGAGTTTGTATTGAGTGGTTCACTCCCCCATCCTCCCACCCCCCAATGTAGGAGACATTTCCAGTGTCTTTGCATGTCTTCTAAATTTTGTTGAACACAGGACATTTAAAATAATACAATGTGGAAAATTTGGAATCAAATTCTCCCTCTCCCCAGGTGTTATTGGTATTTCTTTTTGTTGTTTTCTAATACAACTGTTTAGTGCTATAAAATTGCCTTTAAGTGCTATGCTATTGGCGTCGCACAATTTTGATATATTGTGGTTTCCTTTTCACTCATTTTAGATACTTTTTAATTTCCCTTCTGCTTTCATCTTTGACTCATGGGTTATTTAAAATTGTGTTATTTAGTTTTCAAATATTTGGAGAGCTATTCCAGGTATCTCACTTTTATTGATTTCTAATTTAATTCTGTTGTTGTAACAGATACGACTTGAATATTAAGTTGACTGAGATTAGCTTTTGATGTCTTTTTAAAATTTGTTTTTCATTTATTCTTTTTGTGTAAACTAGTAATACATAGATACATCATGTGCAAAATTTTCAAATTGTACTATCATATATAGAATAAAAAACTTCCCCTTTCCCACCACCTGCCCACTCCTACTCTTCTCTGCTGAGATAAACATTGTTTTTGCGTGTTTGTTTTGGTATCTTTCCATACCTTTTTCTATACATTAACATACTATATATGTAGATATATAATTTATATGAAAACAGTATACACACATCTCAGTCCCATGCTTTTTTTCCTAAATAATTATCTTAGTTTTTTTTTTATGTACAGATATAGGTATATATATATTTGGTATTTTTCATCTTTTTTTTTTACTTCATAAAATTTAACTAGAGCAAATATTATAAAGTAAGGCACCTCATGCATTTAATCATTTTCTGACATATTAACATATTAGGTGTTTTATTTTTATTCTGTGATCAACATTGATGAAATGAACATCCTTGTCATATATACCTTTCAGATCATTTTGCACATCTGTGTGCATACTTATCAAGGATAAATTTCTAGACATGGAATTATTAAGTTAAAGTATATGCATTTTTTTTTTATTCTGAGAAATATACAAATAGAGTTCCAAAAAGTTGTAATGATTGTTTATGTGTGTTTCTTCAAACTTTTGATAAAACTGAATATTGTCAGTGTTTAAATTTTTGGTTAATATGATGTGTGAAATATGTCATTATTATGCCAATATGCATTTTCTTCATCATTTACTATATTAAGCAGCTTTTTACATGGTAGTTAGCTATTTATATTTTCTGTGCATTGCCTTTCATATTCTTTGTCCATTTATTATTTGAATGTTTTACTGTTTCCTGTTTATTAGAGTGAGCTTTTTATATAGCTAGATAATAATCCTCTGCCTATTATATATGTGGAGCCCTGGTGGTGCAGTGGTTAAAGAGGTTGGCTGCTAACCAGAAGTTCAGCAGTTCAAATCCAGCAGCTGCTCCTTGGAAACCCTATGGGGCAGTTGTGCTCTGTCCTGTAGAGTCACTATGAGTCAGAATGGACCCAATGGCAATGGATTTGATTTGGTTTTGGTATTATATATGCATCAAATATTTTTGCCTTTTCATTACTGTCTTTTAAATTTGTGCACAGTATCTTTTTCAAAAATGATTTTTATCTTGTAAAATAATTTACTCTTTTTTATAGTTTCTAGGATTTGTCTGTTTAGAAAGGCAGTTTTTATCAGTTTATTTCTGTGAAAACCTCTGCTTGCTTCAACATGCTTTGTAAAGTTTCTTGTATGACTGTGTACTGTGTAGCGTGTAGCTCTGTGTCTTTGTCTTTCCTATATGATTCCCCTGCTAGTCTCCCATGGATGCAGCAGGTTGGTGAGCGTGTGGGGTGGTGATAGGAAAGAAGTGTGCTCAATACATTTAATGGAAAATGTTTCTTCTTGGCTAGAGTCCAAAGTTAGAATAAAGCACATTTGTGCCACTATATTATACTTCTGTTATATTGTTAAGAGTCCTCAGAGAAAAGAGCTTTGGACATTACTGTGTAATTACTTCACGCCCTGTATTGTGTGGGTTACCATAACCTGCTTTTTTTTTTTTTTCAAGTAAGAGAGAGCTAAGCCTACCACTAAGGCTTAATTGGTGATAAGATTTGCATGTCCACTTCGCATATTGGTTCTACTAAATCCATCAGAAATGCTTTCTAATTTTCTACTCTGCTACTTTAGATAGCAGTGGCTTTTACCAGCAAAGAGATTTATTTCTATGATCTGCTGTCTAAAGAAGAATTTCCTTGTCAATACAAACTCCAAGGTCTGAAAGCAACACCAATTTGCATGGATTATTGGTATGACCCCCTTGATGCCAATGAATCAATTCTTTCTTTTGGGGACATCACTGGAAAGGTAAGTGAGAGAAGGATAAGATTGAACACTATGGATTTAATCATCAAACTGTAGCTCAAAATAGAAATTAAAATGCAATTACTGCAGCCTCTTAATGGAACTACATGATAGATAATAGATTCACACATGTTGGACATGGAAAAGATGGATTAGGTCAGTTTCTCTTCTTGCTTATAAATACCAATTCTCATTGTAATTTACTTGTGTATGTATAGTCTTTGTTTCTCATTTAGAAAAAAAAATTGTCAACCTTTTTCATTATTAAAAAAAACAAACCCGCTGCCATTGAGTCGATTCTGACTCATAGCAACTCTATACAACAGAGTAGAACTGCCCCATAGGGTTTCAAAGGAGCGCCTAGTGGATTTGAACTGCTGACTTTTTGGTTAGCAGCCGTATGTAGCTCTTAACCACTATGCAGCCAGGGTTCCCTTCCTTTTCACCATAGGATGCTTAATATATTAGATCACAATATTGATATGCTCTTCATAATAAATATCTAAATTTTTCTTCCATAATGCTTTCATATTAATTGGCCTGATTTTCATTCATTAAGGCCTTGGACTTTTCAGTACCAGTCTCCCACTGAATGATCATGTCCTGTATCATGTAACAAATGGAAAAATGCATCAGAGGGGGCAGCACTGGAACCTAGACATTGGATACAATAATTTCTATCTTCCTCTCAAATTCCACCAAGACCTCTAGAAAATTCTTACTTACTGAATGGCAGTACAATTAATACATCTGTGACCTCTGAAGTAGTCTAATACGAACCATTTCCTTTCGTAATTGTGAAAGCTTTTCATTCTTACTGTTTTTAATGACAAGTGTATCTTAAAATCAATTAATAAACTGCCCTTAGTAACTGTTTTACCAACCTTGTAGCTTTTTTGGTTTTTTACTATAACTGCTTGCATTTGTAAAATAATATTGAAGAAATTCCTATATGTTAATGGCTATTCTTTACTAATCTTAATCAACAAAGAATCTTTTTGTAACAATTATGCTGCCCAAGTTTGCTTTTCTTTTAATGATATCTCTGTCACAGGTTCAAGCAATTTCTTTCACAGCGGCCTTGATATCCTTGTTCGAGCGGCCTCCTAGTGCTTGTGAAGATGAAGATACCACCGTGACCATTAGCTGGGCAGAACTGCTCTCTGGATATCACAAATGCTGCTATATATTAGAGCACAAACTTCATCATGGAGATTGGGTCAGGCAAGGTACTGAATCTGAATAGTAATGAATGAAAAAGGTCACCTTTGACTCCTACATTTCTATTTGATGAAAATGTTTCACACAAAACGTTTAAGTCTAGCAACTAATGTTAATTGGTTCTCTGGAGGTTTTGGCCTGGACTTTGCTATCGTCTGAACACTGGCAGGAATTATTCTCTTCTTTTTTTTTTTTTCTATAATTTATGTTTCATACAATTAATTCAGGTGAACTATGCACTTAAGAAATCTCAAGAGACAGAAGAAAATTGTCACAGAATCCATTTAATGTCAACCCAATTCTGATCCTAACTAATTTCATCTAGTCACGTTCAGCGCTTCTTAATAAAAGTGTTTAGCAAGTTCCCCCAAAACCATTCCTTTGTTTTCTTTATGCTCTCATGTGAAGTATATTAGTTTGACTTCCTTCAAAATAGACTCTTCTTAATTTCTTCTTTTCTTTTATTTTGCATAATGACTGAGTTCCTCTAATCTACAGTACCTGAAAGGCAGTTCTCTGTGTGGTAGCGTTATGCTATAAAACAACATCTAAAGAAACCCAGAACTTTTGTAAATACCTAGTCACTAATAATGAGTTAATTAAGGGGCATTAGTGGTTCAGTGGTAGAATTCTCACCTTCCATGTGGGAGACCCAGGCCCAGTCAGTGCCCCTCATGTGCAGCCACCGCCTGTCTGTCACTGGAGGCTTGCTTGTTGCTACAGTGATGAACAGGTTTCGGTGGGGCTTCCAGACTAAGATAGACTAGCAGGAAAGATCTGGCATTCTATGTCTGAAAATCAGCTAATGAAAATGCTATTGATCACAAATATTTGATCTGCAACTGATCATGGAGATGGTGCAGGACCGGGCAGCATTTCATTCTGTTATACATGGATTCACCGTGAGTCGGCCGACTCAATGACAGCTAACAATGAATTACTAGTTTCAACATATGCCTGAGTTTTACAAAATATATCCGATGGTTCAAGATCCAAATGTGAGGTATCTGCACTGATATCTCCTTTGATCCGAACACTATGGACTATAATTATTTTTCTCACTTCTAAATTGCAACATTAAAGAATGCCCACTGAAGAGAATGGAAATGAAGAGAATAGTCAACCCTACTGACCATTATATTGTAGGTCTACTCCTAACACACTTTGAAAAAGGGACACTCAAAATGGACCCAAGGGTTGGTTTTTAATGTTGGCTTTACCCCCTTAGCTTTCAGGAAGTTGGGACTAATTTGTGAATGCATCATCCACAAAAATAATATATTACATGAAGAACTGTAGGTTCTGCTTTTTTTCCAATATAGATTATACCACGTCTTTGATGCCTTTTATTCACCCTTTAATTCTGTTGTGATATTTTAATTGTTGGAAAAACAAAAGATGATGTATTTTTGGTCATTATTATGTATAACTTCTCTGATCCAAAAAACTGGACTATATGAGGAAGAATGGAGCATCAGGATTGGAGGAAGACTCATTAACAACCTGTGTTATGCAGATGACACAAACTTGCTTGCTGAAAGTGAAGAGGACTTGAAGCACTTACTGATGAAGAGCAAAGACCACAGCCTTCAGTATGGATCACACCTCAACATGAAACAAAAATCCTCACAACTGGACCAATAAGCAACATCATGATAAAGGTAGAAAAGACTGAAGTTGTCAAGGATTTCATTTTACTTGGATCCACCATCAACACCCATGAAAGCAGCCGTCAGAAATCAAAAGATGCATTGCATTGGGCAAATCTGTGGCAAAAGACCTCCTCACAGTGTTGAAAATCAAAGACGTCACCTTGAAGAATAAGGTGCCCTTGACCTAAGGCATGGTATTTTCAGTCTCATCATATGCATACCAAAGCTGGACAATGAATAAGGAAGACCGAAGAAGAATTGACACCTTTGAATTGTGGTGTTGGCAAAGAATATTGAATATACCATGAACTGCCAAAAGAACAAACAGGTCTGTCTTGGAAGAAGTACAACCAGAATGTTCCTTAGAAGCAAGGATGGCGAGACTATGTCATACATACTTTGGACACGCTGTCAGGAGGGATCAGTCCCTGGAGAAGGACATCATGCTTGGTAAAGTACAGAGTCAGTGAAAAAGAGGAAAACCCTCAACGAGATGGATTGACACAGTGGCTGCAGCAAGGGGCTCAAGCATAACAAGGATTGTGAGGATGGCGCAGGACTGGGCAGTGTTTTGTTCTATTGTACATAGCGTTGCTATGAGTCTGAAATGTGTTAAGTTTTTATACACTGAAATAAGAATCACAGTACTAGAAGAAAATGAAATGAACTATTTTAGTTGCTTCCAAACAAGTATGATGTTTTTGATACATAAACTAAAATCTAGACTATAGTAATAGAGTAATAGTTCTTCAAATCTACATGTAGTAGATAGCAATTTCCTGAAATTTAGTGTATTATTTGAATTCCATGATCTTATATTGATTTGAATAAATACAGAGAAATAATCAATAAAATGCTGTTTTTTAAAAGGTTGGACTATAACAACTAAGATTTTATAAATGAGATTTTTGAAAAAAATATGAGTAAGATCTAAATACTCTCTTCATATTCAGGGAAAGAATAAAAAGTATTTACTCTTGTAGACTACCATTTCATAAAATCCCTCAAATATCAACCCTACCATCTGTCATAACAAAAAATACCACAAATGAGTAGCTCTAAGGAACAGAAATTTATTGTCTCAAAGTTTTGGTGACTAAAAGTTCAAATCAGGGCGTTGGCTCGATGGCAGGGTCTTTCATTGTCGGTAGCACTGGGCATTTCTTGGCATTCCTTGGCTTGTAGATGAATTCTCACATGGTGTCTTCCCCTGAGTGCGTCTCTCTGTGTCTGCTTTCCCTTTTTATAAGACACCACTAAGAAGGGATTAAATTTAGGATCCACTCTATTCTGGTATGTCCTCATTAATATAACAAAAGAAAAACCCTATTTCCTAAAACATTCACATTCTCAGGGGCCCAGGGACTAGGACTTCAACTTGTCTTTTTGGGGTACACAATTCAACCCACAATGCTTACTATCTCCAGTCTATAGATAAGGAAATTGAGATGGAGAAATATGATGTAACCTCTCGATGAGCATTTCTCTCTTAAGTGGCAGGATGAGATTTTTCTCTAGATCAAAGTGAATCGCTTATTATGTTTCCACTGTATCATTCTAATTTGTGGTATTGTCTTAGGTATTTAGTGCTGCCATAACAGAAATACCACAAGGGGATGGCTTTAACAAAGAGAAATTTATTCTCTCACAGTCTAGTAGGCTACAAGTCCAAATTCAGGGTGTCATCTCCAGGGGAAGGCTTTCTCTGTCAGCTCTGGAGGAAGGTCTGTGTCAATCTTCCCTTGGTCTAGGAGCTCCTCTGCGCAGGAACCTCAGGTCCAAAGGACAGGCTCTGCTCCTGGCCCTGCTTTCTTGGTGTTATGAGGTTCCCACATCTCTCTGCTTGGCTTAAGACACTGTATAATCTTGTAGATTTCATCAATATAACTGCTGCTAGTCCATCTTATTACATCATAGTGATAGGATTTACAACACATAGGGAAATCACCTCAGATTACAAAATGGTAAACAATCATACAATACTGGGAATCATGACCTAGCCAAGTTGACAGATATTTTAGGTGGGGCATAATTCAATCCATGACAGGTACTCTCATCTAGTAACAAAAGAACATGGGAACTTAGCTCAGCGTCAGCAGCAGAGATTCATGTTCTTAACCTAAGGAGTCCAACTTCAGAGTTTGGCTTCTTTTCCAGTGCAAATTAGGATTGGGTTTTGGAAAAGTTTTAGGTTTATAAAATATTAGAGATTTTTGCTATATTACATGAATTACATATTTCTTAGCTCTTTGAATCAAAATTCATTGTAATCAAGTAGATAATCTTTGGAAGAATACCTGAAAAAAATGCATGTTTACTTTAGCCTGTTGATTTGACTAATGCCATCAGTTGATTGGACTCATGTCAATATAACAACAATTATTTATTGAACTTTTATTTTAAGGCATTTTAAGGCTGTGGATGAAAAAGATGGATTATGGGCTCCATCTTCAAGAAAGTTAATATCTGAATGAGGATTAAAGACTAACATAAGGTAATTTATTAGAAAATTGTACAATGGGCTGAAAATTAACTACTAAACCATATGGAGAAGAATTTTGAATTTCCTAAGCAAAAAACAAACCAAAAAAAATGAGGAAAACCTTCAAAGGTAGGTGGTAGGATTTGAAAGACGGATAGACAGAGTGAAAAAGAGACAGTATGAGGAACGTGAGTAAAGGTAGACAAGCAACCATAATACTGAAGAAAGAAGTGGGCATGAATGTACCAGAGGCTAAGTGTTGAGGATATAAAAATGAATACTTTGAAAATCTTGAAAGAAAAAAAATTGTCAATGAAGAATAATATATCCTGCAAAACTCTCGTTCAGATATGATAGTGAAATCAAGATGTTTCCAAATAGACAGAAATTAAAGGAATACGTAAAAACCAAACAAAACTTACAAGAATTATTAAAGGGAAACCTTCAGTTTGAGAACAAACATCAGATGACAGCCTGAATCTAGAACACAAGATTGCACCAGCCAAATACCAACCTAGGAAATGAACCCTCAAGGACTATTCAAAACCAAAAGATTTACAACAGGGAACCAAAGAGGTTAATCTACAAATGACAACAATGTCAGAACAAAAAAAGAGGGAATAAACGTGTAGGTATAGAAATTTCTAATGGAGAGGAAGGCAAGGCAACACCAAGTAATAATAGACTGATTCAAACTTAGGAAGATAAGGGTAAATTTCAAGGTAACCACAAAGAAAGTTAACAAACCTACTCATCAAAATAAAGAAGAAAAAGATAAAGTCTCAGTAAAAACAAAATCTACAAAAAAAAAAGAAATGAAAAAAAAATCCACAAACAAAAGGAATTCAGCACAGGAGAGTAAGAGGAACAAAGG